GTGTGTGTTCCTGTGTATGTACTGCTGACTTCGGCAGTACTGGTCATACCCTATGGGGTTTGTTTATGTGGGAGATAGTTCATAAAATGTCTGGAGGGCAAAAGGACAGAATTTTTGTGGTTATCCGTATATCCGAATCTCCACATATCCACATCCCATGTGGTTTTTTAAAAAAACCTGCTGGTTTCCAGTGGAAGTTCAGTGGCAGCCGTCTTGGGAGCCTCTAAATCTCGGAACAAAGCATCAAGTCTGGACATGGAGGCAGCAATCCTGGGACCAACAGGTCTGTATGTGGACCTCTCCTGAAATCCCGGGATTTTTTGCCCCTTACTAAAACCTGTGATTAAGTGTTGTCTGGAACTGCCCCAAGTTCAATATGCATTTTATACAGCTGTGTGGAAGTGACCAGTGTCTGCATTTTGTGTTCCTGTAAATTCAGAGATGAGTGAACCATCTTGAAAACTAGCAATCTCCAAGTTACAAACAAGATAGGTTGTATATGTTTGTTCTTAAGTTGAATGTAAGTCAGAACAGGTACATTTTTAGTGTAACTCCAGCCACACACGCACACATGCTTTGGGAGATAACACCCCTGAAGTGTTCATTTTGCTTTCTATGTCCCTTTTCAGAAGATTTCACCTCACTTTCTGTTCCTGTGATAATTGGATTTTGAAAAATTTGACTTGTTGTGGGAACAAGGATTGGTGATAAAGCATCAATTGTGACACCTCCCCCCCCCCCCCCCCCGCCAAATTATAACTCTTTCAGGGGTGACTTTCCCTTCCCGGGGTAGATTTCTCTCACTTCCTGTTGTCCCACTCTTCACTATGAGTCATTTGTAACTAGGGACTCAGGGACTGCCTTTATAGCCTTCAGTTCTGTTTTGCTTGCTGGCCATGTAATTGTTTAGAATCTTATTGGCCTAGCATTAGTGGACTCTATTTTTGGTTTCTGCATTTTGAATTAGTGAAGAGCATTAATTGGGGGGAGGGGGGGGAACCAATAGTAAGCTAAAATCACCAGATCCTGTCTGATCTTGGAAGTTAAGAATGATCATTCTGGTTAATACTTGCAATGAATACAAGGGCCCATTGACTCTACTTCAGAGGAACTTGCAAATCTATTTCTGAGTAATTATTTTGCCTGATTTTTTTTGGGGGGGGGGGAGGAGCAACTTGAGAAACTGCAAGTTGCTTCTGATGTGAGAGAATTGGCCATCTGCAAGGATGTTGCCCAGGAGTTGCCCAGATGTGTTGATGTTGTACCATTGTTGTGGGAGGCTTCTCTCATGTCCCTACATGGGGAGCTGGAGCTGACAGAGGGAGCTCATCTATGATCTCCCTGAATTTGAACCTTTGACCTGTCGGTCTTCAGTCCTGCTGGCACGAGGGTTTAACCCATTGTGCCACTGGGGCTCCTGGTGAAACCCTGTGCATTTCATGAGTTTACTACAAGCTGGCAGATGACTTGGGACTTCATCAGATGAAGCTGGGGGAAGTGGGAGAAATCATCCTCCTGCATGTAGAATCATCTTCTTTGTGTGTAGAATCATCTTCTTTGTGTGTAGAATCATCTTCTTTGTGCGGGATTCAGTCTTTCAATAAGATGGAGAATTTACTTATCCCCTCCCACCTCAACCATCTGCTTAGAGGAGACACAAGGCATCATTTTTAAGACACCACTTCTATGAGCTATTTTCCCTTTCGATCCTGTTACTCTAGAGAAGACCCAGGGCACAGTTCTTAAGACAGACACCACTGGTGGGATACTTTGATTTCATTCTCAATCCTGTTACTCTAGAGGAGACCCAGGGCAATATTCTAGCTTCCTATGGTAGGTTAAAAAAAAGTTTAAAAGCTAGTGCAATTTTGAAAGCCTAGATTACAAGGAAGGAGAAAATGCAGTGAAAGCAAAGTTGTGATATCTTACAATGGTGCTGTTCCTTAGGATTACAATAATTAAAAATAATTACTGTTCCAGGCTCATGCAGAAGAATTTTGTAAAAGAAGTGGAGTAAATTAGACCATCCATAGTAACACCAATTCTGAAGCAATTTCAATATGAGCAAATCTGACAGATCCCATCCCATGTGTTTTAAGCCCTGTACAGTTCCGGCCCAGTTTACTTGTCTGAATGTATCTCTGTCTATGAGTTTATGATCATCTGGGGAGGCCCTGCTCTCGATCCCGCAACCTTCACAAGCACAATTGGGGAGATGGGAGACAGGGCCTTCTCAGTGGTGGCCCCTTGTCTGTGGAATGCTCTCCCTAGTGAAATCAGGGTGATTCCTTCTCTCCTTCAGGAAGAAACTTAAGTCTTGGTTTTGGGACCAAGCATTCGGGCTGCTGGCTGAGCAACAACTGTAATGACTCTTGAGAATTGTCAATTAAGAGATCTTGGACTGGAACTCTGAACTATGATTTGGATTTTCGGACTCAAACTTGGTTGTGTTAATATTTCAGGGCCAATATTTTGAATATACTTTTATTACTTTTTAATGTATTTTATTGTTGTTGACCTGTTTATGTTAATTGTTGTGCTTTAACTTGTTTCTTTGTCGACATCTAATGACTGCTCTAAATTAATAAATAACTAAATTATTTTCTCTCATTTCTGTGATGATCAGGACCTCTGAAGATGATTTCTACCTGGCTTCAGTTTTCCACCATTTCTCCACACATTTGACACAGTTCACTGACGAAACACCATGGATGACAGCTGGAAAGCTGTCTGCATCATATGATGGGCTTTGTAATACTTCGTCTATGAACTGTTTTAAAAGTGTGTGGGAAGGGGGGTTGTCTTGCATGTGATAAAGTCCTTGGACTTACGTGTGTACATATGCACATTCTGTAGGGAGCAAAGCAAGGATATCATACAGTTAGGTGTTAAAGATATATTTGATGTCTTTAGTAAAGGAGAGCACTATTTGTAACATCTCTTGGAAACTTCAGTAGATAAAGGGAGCAGCTGTTGCTGGGCATAGAAGGTGCGAGGGATTGAAAGGATTTTAGCAGCCATTAGAAATTGAGATAAACATCGTCAAGAGGAACAGTTTTAGCCTCACTCCCTTATATCAAGTACTATGTTAATTCCTATTTTATGAAGAGGATTTGTTTGCATATTTGAAATGGACTGCCAGATTGCCGTTCAGAGAATCTTTCAAAATGACAGCAGTTGAGCCTCCCTCTGCAGATGGGAAATATTTCTTTTTGATCTGTATCAGTGAGAGGTTAGTTTTATCCTTGAAACACATGGTTTAAAACTTTTGTGCAAATTTGATTGCATTAGCTATTTTATGGTTAAACATTTCACCATATGGCTATTTTGCCCACTTTTGGACCACTTGTTCTTGGCCACAGCAGGTTTTGAAGAATTCATTGCACATTTCAAAATAAAACCAATTTAGAACAGATGCATAAAAAACCTGTCATTGAAAAGTAATACTTGATTTTGAAGTCATTTCACATTTGGTTCAGCATCTGCGCCATATGATTGTAATCTCTGTGCATTAATAAGGTCTTTCTGCTATGACTTCTTAGCTAGGAAAGCTTTTGAAGATCCCCATGTAATCATCACAGTTTTCAATGGGTTAAACCATTGTCCTGGCAGGACTGAAGACCGACAGGTCACAGGGTCAAATTCAGGGAGAGCGCAGATGAGCTCCCTCTGTCAGCTCCAGCTCCCCATGCAGGGACATGAGAGAAGCCTCCCACCAGGATGGTAAAACATCAACACATCCGGGTGTCCCCTGGGCAATGTCCTTGCAGACAGCCAATTCTCTCCCACCAGGAGTGACTTGCAGTGTCTCAAGTTGCTCCAAACAGAAAAAAAATCCTTATGGTTCTTTTCAGTTCTACTGTTTCAAACATATTTCATATTACACAAAAGGTGCATCTACACTGCAGAATACACTACACTGTAGTTTGATACCGTTTCAATTGCCATGGTTCAATATTATGGAATCATGGGAGTTGTTGTTTTAAAATGTCTTTCATTTTCTCTGAAAAGAATGCTGGTGTATCACCAAACGACAACTTCCATGGTTCCGTAGCACTGAGTTTGAAGTTTGAAGTTGATTTGCAGACCATAGTTATGGGAACAAAGATTTTGTACAATGTAGCATAGCAAAGATACAATGCTGTGGCGGGAGTGCTCTTTTCTGATTTGCAATCAGCATTTTGCATGTAGCAAGTGTTAATTTTGCACCAGACAGAGGTACTTGAAGGCAATTATCAAATGCAACTTAAGTGCATAGGGAGCTCTTAAAGCTAGTTACGTAGTTAATTAGTTATGTAGATGGTATAATCCATAAACATCGTTGTTATGAATAAGTTTTGTAATTCTATCTTTTGCTTGAGGATGCTGCCTCAAGAAAGTTTGCTTGGCTGTATGTTACTGCTAGGTATTCCTCTCCTGTTGCAAAGTAGACTGCTTTCTGGCCCTTAATATAAGGTTATAAAACATGTTGGAATTTTGAGTAATAATATTTTTTTGGTTTATATTACAGTACAACCTCACCCCCATCCGTGGACTCAATATCAACAGTTTTACTTACAAAAAAATTTCTCTCCACCTTGAAGTGTTTTTTTTTTGTGGGGGGGGGGGGTATCTCAGTCCTCCAGTGGTATTTTATATCAAATTATGCCCCAAGTATAGTCAAGATATAGGTTTTGCAATTATCCCCAGTTTTAGGTATCAATGGGGAGTGGGGAGGTTGGAACATATCCCCCAAGCATACAGGGCTTGTACTGTGTTGTTGAACAGAAGTGAGTGGAAGGTACAGAGTCTGTTCAAAGGAGTCGCTGATATTTTGTTTGAAATTTCCTGTATATGTCATACTTCCACATCTTCCATGTTAGATTAACATTAACCCATGCTCAACATGTTTGTGTACATATTACCATTGTGAAAGTATTCTGAGTCATATTAAGGGTATAATCTGAAGGGCTTTTCTGTTGAATACCTAGTGATGTTTATTGTATATTAATTGGTTGCAGAATGTTTGGCACTTCAAACCTGTGCAAAAGAACTGTAATTTATAGCCAAGCTGGAGACTGCAGGAGAAACAGCCAGCAAAAACATGGAAGACAGGTGAGCTTTAGAAATGCAGATACTGTTTCTTTTGAAAACCCAGGAAGCTATAGGCTTGTTAGTTCATTTTCCATTTTAAAGGTGTTAAAACCAGTCACCTCACTGAGAGTGGCAAGCATTTTCAACCATTGCAATCCTGCCACCTTTCCAGCCCATACATCTCAATTTCTCGTTGTTCCAGCAGACTCATTTAAATGGTTCTGTTGGAAGGACAAGAGATTGAGGGGAAGTGGATTGGGAGGAAGAGGAGTTTGGGGAGAAAATTGAGAGGCTGGAAAGGTTTTGAAAATCTGGCTGGCTCTCTTCGAAGACAGAAGATTGAAAAAAGGTGAATTTGGAGGAAAAGATGAGGGGCAAGGAGATTGATTAACTGAAAGGGGTTTTCAAATGTGTTCATGGCATTCTGGTGGCCAGGTGAGAAAGAGAGTGGCAGGCAGATACTGTTGACAGGAGTCTGTAGCATGAATGTTTTGGGGAGGGGTTTGCAATGTTTGTCGTTTTCACTTTTATGGGGGCCTGCACCTCTAGCCATCACAGATGTGTAGAGCCAGCTTGGATGCTGTTCTTGGATGCATGTGTGGCTTTAACAAGGCATTTGTTACTAAATTATGTAAGATATTTACCCTTACAAAAGAATGGGAGCTTCACACCCAACTTTCTTAGTGGATTACACTGTGCTATAGCACAGTAACCAATTTTGTCAGGCTGGATCTACATCGTCCTATAACCCAGGATTTGATCCCAGATTATCTGCTTTGAACTGGATTATATGACAACCTTCTGCACATGCCTAAAAACCCAGAAGTAACTGGCATAAAAGGGGGGTAGCTAAATGACATCTAGACAAACTGTGAGTGGAATCGGTGTAACAGCTGAAAAGCACGTGTTAAAAAGGTGCCTAAATCCCGATTCTGCCCCAAAACTGTGCACCTTTGTGCAAAACACATGATTGCCTTCCTTTCACCTTTTGTAGACCGCACCAGCAAACATGCATATTTTAAACAGCTGATTGGGCTGGCAAAAAAAGGAGCCACAAATACACATAACTAAACAGTGCAATTGATTGTTTACTGGAATATGGATTAATGGACAACGAGATCGGATGCTGATTCTATTGATGAGACGTGATGGATTGTTGTTTTGCTGTATTGTTGCATTGATGTTTTAGATGTTAATTAATTGATGCTACTGTTTTAAATGACTAATGATTTTGTACTGTGTTGCTGATACTGGTTGTTAACCGCTCTGAGTCGCCTGATGGCTGAGAAGAGCGGTATACAAGTAAAGCAAATAAATAAATAAATAAATAAATAAATAAATAATGTGGCTCAAGAGAAGCACAATTGGACAGCAATTAGAACTCTCTGAAACCATTCCTTTCTTTTGATCTTTATAATATTAAATAGGGCTTGAAGTTGGGTGAGGAGAGAGAATAAGAAATATGCTTGTGTGTACATTAAAGTTTTTGCTTGGTTGCATATGAGGTCCGGCATATTTCAGACATATCTTTTAAACAAACAAACAAACTTCACCTGGATGATACTCATCCTCCCTCCATCATGATCCGCTTCAAAGGAAGATGTGAGGATGGCGGGGGATCATTTCCCAGGATGAACAGGTCTGTGTGTGGACCTGCTGTCAGGTCCCAGTTTTTTTGCCCCAGTTTTAAAACCTGTATTTTGACGCTGTCTGGAAGTGCCCTGAGTCTACACTACCAAATAATCTCAGACATGCCGATAATTTGGGATCAGATCCTGGGATATAGGGCAATATAGATCCAGCCTTATTTTTTTCTTCATGGAATTAAAACAAACCAATTGATTAGTATTTCTCCCCAACCTACAAGTTACTCTGTATGTACAATAGGCGCACAAATAAAAAGACAAACACTATTTTTTACCTGAGTGAATACCTCTCCAGGAATATCTAGGTTCTCTATTGTAAATCTATGTTCAGTTTTGGCAGAAATTGACTGTAGCATTGCATTAGAGAAGTGCTTCATAAACTGTGGGCCCTGATCCCATATGGAGCTCAATGTTGGGGTCCTGGAAAATTTGGCAATAAAGTCTTCTGAACGTCACAGTGGTGGTTTTTGAGACATTTACACAAATCTGTTGTGCAGTGTTTACAGTGAACTCTGTAGAAGATACTTCAGCTATACTTCATAATAAGGAAAATCAGCCTGTTTAGCAAGCTTTGCAATGCTGCTTTGTCATCAGTAAATGTTTGATTTCTATTCCTATTTCATATACCTATACACTCAGGGTCAAATAAAAATTATTGGACCAAAAGGAATCCCTAGTGGAAAATTTTAAGAAGCCCAGTGATAGAGGACCTAGGAACATACTAATCAAATTTGTGAACAATCAATCTGCAAATGTTAAACTTACAAATGTGGAGGGACACTTCTAAATCTTTACTTTATGGTTTTTCCCCTGTAAAAGGAAATTAGCCCAGAACACTGTAAAATATTAATGTGACATTACTCTAAATCCAAAGCAGAGGTATTTGTACCTCACTTTCCCCTGCAAATATAAACTTGTACATATGATGGTGCAGATTTCTGATCTGAAATCCTAAAGAGAAGAATTATGATTGTATAGGTTCCCATCTTTGAGATTGCTGTCTTTTGAATGCCAAATGTTGCATCTCTGTTCTGTTTCTCTTGACTCTCTCATCAGGTGAAAGATGACATGGTTTCCAGGAAGATGTAGGTGTCTTCTTGACGTCCTGGTTACCATGACTCCCAGCAGAGGGCTGTGGGAGAAAAAGTGGGAATCCCTCCCGTCCCCATAAAAACCACTAACAGCCATGGCTGGGTAGAGTTTAAACAAGGTATTGAAAAATCCAGATTTTTTTTCTTTCTTGCATTTTTTCCTCTGAAATCTATCATAGAGCTTAATAACAAAGTGCATCCAAGCAATTAAGTTGTCCAAGAATATTGTACATCAAGCCCTTACCCAAGGGGCTGGGGAGGGGAGTTTAAAGGTGCAAACCCTCCTCCTGAAAAATTTCAGGTTAAAAAAAACCTGGTTTACTCATGAATTTTAACTGGTTAACCAAATTTTGATAATTTATTCACACTATCATTACTAACCATACCACCAATTTACATTGCAATAACAGCAATAGCTGACATAGTGGAAGTGACCAAGTTTGGACGTTGTGGATGTTAAGTCAACATTTTCAATATAAGACAATATAATCCACCAAAACTGACATCAGATTTGCACTCCCCGGGTTAAAATCCATAAGAAAAGCTTAAGTTTAAATACATTTTATGGTGTTTCCAAGTATATAACAACTATGATAATTTGTGCTTTCTTTAGCAGATTGTACTTTAATTTCCCCTAAACTATCAAGTATTTTTAATAACTAGGTACCAATTAAAAGTATTTTTATTTAGTTTCTAAAAATGTAATAATATGTGTGGCTCATAGATCCTGATTTTTAGATATTCCAATTTGAAGTGAAAATATTTGTATAAGAGATTTTTCAAAATGCTCTATCTCTGATTCTAATCAACATTTTTCGTGAAATTTGAATACAATTATAGATTTTATTATGTGATTTTATTATGTGATTTTATTTGTTTTTTACTCCATGTAATTTTCTTTAATATTTTGAAATATTAAAATATCTCAACAACTGAGAATAGTCACGTCACTACTGTCTTGCTCTCCCCCCTTTCCGAGCTCTCCCTTACATCCATCTTCTTGCTCCTGGCCCTGGGGTAAAAAAATGAAGGCATGAAATCAACTGTGGGTCATTCCAAACACAGTTGTTTGACTGTGCAGTTATCTGCTAGCTTGAGTTGTTGTTCTGAGACTTAAAGCCCTGTTAGTTGCTGTTAATGTTTCCTTTCATCAACCTGATTCCAGAAGACACCCATACATCTATCAAACCAATGGAACGTTTTTGGGTTCATGACAAAAAAGAAAAAGCCAAATATTGAAGACCAAGAAGGCAGCAGGTTGAGAATCATTGCTGCAGCTGGTACTGATGAAGACCCCAGAACATGCACACTTGGATTGCAGGTGAAAACTGAGGAAAATATGGAAACGGAGGTGTCTATGACTGGTTCATCTAAGCCAAACCCTGACAAAGAAACCATAAAACAGGAGCAAAGATAAGGAAACAAAAATAAACTTCTTCCAGTTGTGGAAATTATTGTCCTTTGTGGCCGACAAGAACTGATCTTAAGATGGAGCTGTGATTCAGGACCCTATTACCTGTGAAGAACCTTTGTACAATGATGGTAATTTCAGGGTCTTGTTGAGATCTCATGCCAGATCAAGAGACATCTGAAAATTCAACTTGAAACTGAAACTATGAATACCTAGTATATTGGTCCTCAAATACAAAATGAACTCATAAACAGTTGTGGTGACAAGATAGTCCAAAAATTGTTGAAATATGCAATGCATCACAGTATTTATCTGTTTTGGCAGATTAAACTTTGATGCGAGTACCTCAGAATAGTTATTGCTCATGGTAAGGTACACTGATGTTGAAGCTGCAGGAATAAGAGAAGACTTTCTAGGCTTTGTGAAGATAAATGATGTGACAGATGGAGGACTTGCAGGCATTTTTGAAAACACTAAAAAAATGGGCAGAACTTGCAATACTTGTGTCAACAGGGTTTTGGTGGAGCTGCTAATATGAGTAGTCATTTTAGTGGTGCACAGGCAATTATATCACAGAAGTATCCATTGACTGTCTACATCCACTGCAGTGCTCACTCACTAAATCTAGTCTTAGCAAAGACTTGCAACATTCCACCTGTCAGAAACTGCCAAGAAACAATATCATATGTGTGCAATTTCTTTAGAGCATCATCCATTGGACTAGAACTATTGAAGAAAAATATAAAAGACTGTTTCCCTGAGTCAAGAGCAAACAACCTGTTGCTGCATTGCAAAACTCATTGGATTGAGTGACATGATGCTGTTTTATGTTTTGTTGAACTGTACAGTGTGGTGGTGAGAACACTTGAAGAGAGTACTCTATACAATTGTGAGACTTCTTCCAAAGCTGGACACATTCTTTTAGCTGTTCTGAATGCTGAATTTGTAGTAATCATACACATCCTAAGAAAGCTTCTGTCATCAGTTTTTTTTCTTCTGAAAGTGAAGAAGCTTCTTCAGATTTCTGCATCATTTCCTGTTTTAATTTTTTTGTGTTATGGACCTACTCTTCATGATTCGCCAAAAAATAAAAATTGTTTCTACACATGCACACAATTTTTTTCTGGCTACAAGCCTGGTGTAGCTATTCTTTTAGTCACCATCTGTTGCCCTTTTATTGTTTTTCTCAACACTAATGGAATATGAGCAATTAAAACTGATAAACATATTCCCTATTTGCCACTTTGCTGCTGCTCCCCTTGTTCACTTTTCCTTCCCTTCCCCCATGAAATTGTCTTATGAAACATCTGCAAGCTTTTGATGAGAGGAGATGAACTGTATTTTACTCTTCAAGCTTCACAATATTGTTTTCCCTCCTTGCATTTTAGGACTTCTACAGGGTGTTGACATTATGGGGACTTGTTGTAGCTGTCCATGCAAAGACAGGGTTCCGGATAATCACCCCACCAAATTTAAGGTAATTTAATTGAATTTACTCACATTAGCTTTCATTATCTTATCCACTTATCTTCAGCTTGTATTCTTGCCCCTTAGGTTTGCAAATAGCTGTGTTTCTTGTATGTCTTTGACATGGAGTTTCAGGTTGAGCACCCCTTATTCAGAATTCCAAAATCTGAAATTCACCAAAATCCAAAGTTGTCCACATGGGTAGCTGATATAGTAATAAGTTTCCTTTTTGATGGTTCAGTGTACATATACATTGTCTTATGTACATTTTTTAAAATGTATAAAATTACTTTCAGGCTATGTATATAAGGTGTAAATTAAACATAAACAATATGCAATACAGTTATTCCATAATCCAAAGCACTTCTGGTCTCAAACATTTTGGATAAGGGAAACTAAAAAATGCCATGTATTAGCCATGTGATTAAGATAATCTGTGAAAGAGGAAACTGTTGTGCTAAGTGTATTTCAGTTAAGTCCAATGCAGAAGACACAATAACATTGCACCCAAACAAGAGGAAAAAGAACAGAGAAACTTTGCTCTTATCAGCAGAGTTAAAGCATAAACTTGCAATGTTACAAACAGTGCAACAAACTTACATAGTCTTTGTAAGCAATACAGAATAAGGCGTAAGCAATACAGAATAAGGTATAGTATCCACCCTAATGAAGTGTCATGAAGGACTTGGTCACTATTTGGTGGAATTTTAGTTGGAATTATCTAAGGGTATTATCTGGATCTTAGAGTTTCTCATCTGGTAACTTGCCCAGTTTCAATCACAATGATAAACAATACAAATAAACAAACAAATGTTGTTTTGTAAATATCACAAAAATGCTTGGTTATCTTTGCTGTGGTTGTTGTTAAAATATTGTTACAAAAAAGGTTGCTTACTTTTTTGTCAGCTTTTAGCAGTTGGTCGTAGGTAAGTTTATAGTATGTCTATTTCCCAAATACAGCTAAAGCATTAAAAGCAAATGCATGAGGCATAAATCTTTGTGGCCAGTAGAAGTGACCTGGAATCTTTTCATAGAGTGGACTCTAAAGTCTCAAATTGTATCATATCAATACATTCTCCCAGTCATTAAAGGCATCCTTTAATGCAGAGATGTCCAGGGTTTTTTTGCTTCCCTGGGCCACATTGGAAGAAGAAGAATTATGGACAAGATTTGTAGATGTGACATACTCTGATGGTTCCATTCTGTTCCATTGATGCATACAAAGTTTGTGCTTGAGAACCACAGAGTTGAGGTACCAAAAAATCTCATAATGTTTTAAGTAAGTTTACAGTTATGCATTGGGCTGTATTCATAGCCTTCTTGGGCTGTATGCAGCCCATGAGACATTAATATTATTATATTATTATTTTTTTATCTTGCTTTTCTTTCATGGTTGAGACTCAAAGTGGGGTACAGTGTTAAAAGCAGCAAAAATAAACAACATGAAATACTACAAAAATATTATAAACCAAATAAACAAATAACACACCATATGTACCACATTTAAAACCAATTAATAAACTAAGATGTAAATAATTAAAATGCATGCTTTAAAAGTTTTCAATATTTAACAAGACCAAGAGTCAAGGTAGGAATTCTGAAGCTGTGTACTTACCTAAGCAAAAACCATTTACCAGCATCTGACTTTGTACAGTATCTGGTCTGTATACTAATATGCTATTTGGCGTAATGCCTGGAGCTCCAGATGGTGGTTTTTGCCATTCCTACAGGTGACAAATGTTGATGATGAAGGCAACGAGTTGGGCTCAGGGATTATGGAGTTGACCCAGAGGGAGCTGGTTTTGCATACGCACAAACGTGATGCCGTTCGGTGGCCATACCTCTGCTTACGTCGATATGGCTATGATTCTAGTCTCTTTTCTTTTGAGAGTGGACGTCGCTGCCTGACTGGACAGGGTATGTTGATTTCTGAACAGGGACAAAGTATTCAGACTACAGATATCTGTGATATTAGGATAACATCGGGTTTCACACGTGGTTCTTGTGTAGAAACAGTTCTACTCTAGTATGATATAAAGGATAAACTTATATTACTGGTTTCAGGTAAATGTTAGTATAAGAATAGTTGTCCTAAAACATAAGCGAGTGTCTGTTGCGGTATGCTTACATACAGTACATCTGTGCAGGTTGAGCATCCTTTACCCAGAAATCTGAAATCCAGAATCCTTCAAAATTGTCCACATGGGCAGCTGAGATAGTGACATTTTTACTTTATGGTGGTTCAGTGCACACAAACTTTGTTTCCTGTACAACATTATTACAAATATTGTGAATAAAATTACCTTCAGGCTATGTGTACAAGGTGTGTATGAAGAATAAATAAATTCGAGTTTAGACTTAGGCCCCTTGTCCCTATGTGGAAATAAGATATTCTAAAATTTCCCAGAATCTGAAATCTAAAACATTTCTTGTCCCAAGCATTTTGGATAGAAGATGTTCTGTCTGTATTAGAGATGGATAAATGCAGATCTGGTAAGAATGATCAGCAAGCCCTCTTTAAACAATTAATTTCAGTTTCTGTTTTAGAAAGAGCCAGTAGTTGATGTTGATGTTGTTTTAGAGGTTTATGTATAGTTTATTCTATGGCTGGCACTTTGAATGTGCTCTTCTGAGCTGCCCCGAGTTCCTCCGGGGAGATGATGGTGGGGTACAAATAAATTACTATCACGATCACTATTACTATTATTACTATTATTATTATTATTATTATTGTTATTGTTATTGTTATTATTATTATTTATACATATGCTTTACATTAATATTCTTTTTAATGTTATGCAGTGCCATATTTTATATGGGAAGAGAAAGCAGGAAAACCATGCATGTATGTGTGCGTGTTTTTTGTTGACTCTCCATTTTGCAAGGCATTGTTTTCTCAAAGAGAGCATTGATATTTCCCAAATTGTGTGCTCACTATCTTGATGCAAAAATCAATCTCAAAACAAAAACAACAATAACCATGGCTATAACATAGGCTTTCATATTGTCTGTGTAAGCTTCCCCCACTTCACTCAGCTAGATTTCCAATCTTTGTTTTTCTTGTGTCCTTGTTGCACAGAATCATTTTTCTTGCCCTTTTATACAAGGGAGGATAGGTAGAAATGAAGCAATGTGTGTGTGATCTGGCTTTCAAAAAGAAAAAGAAAACATCAGCAAGAACATTTTTCTTCAGAATAGCAACTGTTGTTGCCATGTCCTTTTCCTCGTTGCTATGGGAGTTTTGTGCGTACTTTGTGCGTGCCTGAGTCCGATTGGTTTGTTCAGCATACTCAGGCAATTGATTGAAATATGTTACAGGATGGAGGGTTGCTATTGCCGTTGAATAAGCAATCAAATGGATATATTATCTCTCCCCCTGAAGAACCCATTTCAGTTCATGTAAATCAATAAGAAGATTGCTGAGATTCACAGGAAGGGATCAGGCCCTAACAGATGTGATGGGAGATTGCCTGTTTTCTTCCTTGTGCCCTATCCCTACTGTTGTGGGATTTCTGTAAATTTCCTATTCTTCCTTTAATTTGCTAGACATTAAATTTTTGTGTACTTTAAAAATGCACCTATATCCCCCTTTCCTTCCTTCTCCCCAATCTCTCCTCCCCACCCCCTGTGTTTCCCTCTTTTTGACAATTGGCTAGATCTACATTGCCATATAATGCAGTTTGGAACTGCATTATATGGCAGTGTAGATCCTGCTTAATATGTCAGGAATGGAGGGAAAAGTTAAGGATGGAATAGCTGAGAAAATTAAGTTAGAATTATGTGTTCAGAAATTATTTCAGATGGAAAAGTCCCAATAGCATGGCAGTGATGATAAATTGTGCCTTTTGATCAGCCAGCAATTATTGATTGTTCTTTGCTTGTGACAAGAGAATTTGCACTTAACATGCTGTGCCAATGAAGTGTGCTCAAACATCTTCAAATACCTTATAAAACAGCTTCTTTCCTAACCAGAGGGGTACATGAAACAAGTTGGGCCTTGATTTGGTGGCTGGAAATCGCTGTCTTCAGAAGATGCTGTACCTAAGAAGCTTAGCTTTCCTTTTCAAGTCCTAAATGGCTTGGGATCAAGGAGCACTGTTTCCCCAAAGTGGTAACCAATATATCTAGAGGTCCTGATTCAATGTCTGTTATAGCACAAAGAAATTAGGTTACTGATTAAGAAGGAAGATCTTCCTCACTGGGCCCATATTTTAAGACATTAGCTGGGCATATGAGAGAAATGTGTCTGATTTTTAGTCTTAATTTATTTTCATTCTACTTTTGTTGCTGGACTTAGCATTACATTCTCTCTTAAGTTTTTATACTGCCTTTGTACTAAAGCTTGAGTTATCTGATCATATCTTATGAGCACAATAGAAAACTAACTAACAAACTAACAAATAATAATTTTATCCACCAACGGACCTCATAGGACAAGATGTGCTCTAATGAAATGCTGCCCGTAGCTAGTAAGCTGGTATTAAAACTGACCTTTCTGTCCATTTTCCTCAATACTCTAGGAATTTTTGCTTTCAAATGCTCAAGAGCAGAAGAGATTTTTAATTTGCTGCAGGACTTGATGCAATGTAACAGTATTAATGTGGTGGAGGAGCCCGTAATCATCACAAGGAACAGTCATGCTGCTGAAATGGAACTGCCCCGGACACCCCAGACACCCAACGGTACAGTGCTCACATGTTTAAAGCACTTACATTACATATATCTCAAACATGATTTTTTCCACTAGGAACTGGACTATTCTGCAGGGTCAAATATCCTATTTCAGTAGGCTCCCATCCAAGACCAGTCATCTCCATTGTGGGACTGAGACACTGTAGCACCATGAGGGAAGTTCATTGCTCTTGTATCAGGATTATTGTATTGACCTTCCTCAAGCGGGATCACTTATGGCCCCATATAAGTCACTATCCTTGCCATCATGTGGATTATGTTAACTGTTAATCCTCATGCCCCTTTTGTTATAAAATCAGTCCTAAACTGCATACTCATGTGATACTTTGTTTCCAACTATTATAACAGAAGCTTTATGTTCTGTGTAATTTCTATATTGTAGAATTCATGCAGTTTGACACCATTTTGACTGCTATGACCCTATGCTTTGGAGTCATGGGTTGAAATTTTATAAGATCTTTAACCTTCTCTGCCAAAGAGCACTGGTGCCTCCCTAACTTAGCTCACCAAATTACAAATCTCAAGGTTCCATAGCATTACACAGCCAAGGCAGTTAAAGTGGTGTCAAACTGTTATTATTCTGCAGTGTTGAAACAATTTCTGTGTAAATAATCCATTTTCTAGGCAATTCAACATTTCACTAAGGAAAGTAATCTGGCCTGATTGGTAAAATGTATGCTATCCCATACAGTGGTTATCCTCTTTACTGCTTCTGAACAGAGAATATATGAGAGATAGGGCCCTTCCAGGCTGGATCTACATCAACATATAATCCAGTATTTGATCCCAGATGATCTATTTTGAACTGGATTATATGAGTCTGCACTGCCATATGACCTAGTTCTAAGCAGGTAATCTGGGACCATCTTGGTTCTTTGGGCTCCTAGAACCTGAAGAACTGAGATGGCACTGAAGATTGACCCTTAGGATTACAGAAGGCAAACCCGAGACTCAGCCATCACAGCCCACACCTGCAAAGATCTGGACCTTATTAAAAACTCCTGATCTTTTCAGGTGGTTTTTTAAACCTGGAGTAAACCTGGTTTACTCTGGGTTAATCCGGATTAGCCTGAGACATCGGTTGGACGCCCCCGGCTACTCCAGAACCAATCACGGGCTTTGGTCCTATGTAGAAGGGCCTGTAGACAGAGGCTCATCTAAAGTTAGTTTGGAGTTCTGATAGCCATAGGCACTCTTTAACACTAATTTCATATTTCTCCAGCTCTAGCATATTCAGTTCCAGGGTTTCCGAATGGGTTCCATAGCTTTCCTGCTGAGGCCACAACTTGTCCTGCAGTACGACATACCTCCATGGGGAGTTTAAGGCATTCTTCAGTTGGTGAGGACTCCACACATGCCCTCATTGTGCCTGATGATCAAGTAAGTTCTCATTATGATGGGCAGAATATGTGTTCGTATGTTCTAGCAAAGTAGAACCTGCTTAAGGAAATAGACACCTATTCTTTGTCATTTTTTTAAAAAAATGATAGGCATGGTGGGATATCATTCATCCCTATATATGAGAAAACTGTACCTCTCAATTAAGAGGCAAAGCTGCACCTCTCTACATAAATAATGACATTTTCATACTCATTGGTAGTGGTATGTTTCTTTATAACTATTCTAGTAGCATAAATTACCATGTTTATGCAACCCTGTTATTTAGATGCTTTTAACCCAGTCATTTTGCAATGAGAATTGCAATGTGGGTAGGTGCAAAAAGAGAAATGAGGAGAATTTAAAGAGATTTTTTAAAATTAGATTTTTAATGCTGTTTTTGCACGGGGTATGCCAGAAGACTGAAACTGAAAATGTGTGTTTTAACTGCCTTGGATTGTAGGAACTAAATTCAATCTGTATAAGGAATTATTATATATAATAAGTATAGAGTTGCTTTTAGAGAAAAATCCTCTCAAGACAGGCTCTAGTTTACAAATAAATAATAGAAAAATAAATCCTGAATGCATCGATACTAAAAATAATTTTAAAAACAGCAAAAAACATCTGGTCAGGTAAAAACTCTAGAAGCCAACAATTATAGCTAAAACTACACAATATAACTTGAACCCTAGGGTCCATTTACACTGTAGAATTAATGCAATTTGACATCACTTTAACTGCCATGGCTCAATGCTGTGAATAATGAGATTTATAGTTTGTTGAGGGACCAGCATTCTGGCAAAGAAGAAATAAACCTTGCCAAATCTGCAACTCCCATGTTTCCATAGCATTGAACCATGGCAGTTAAAGTGGTGCCAAAGGGCATTAATTCTACAGCATACATGCACCCATCAAGCCTCTGCAGCACTGCCTTTTCCTCATGTTCCCCAGTGTAGTTGCTCTTAGAAACGGATACGTAAGTATGATGTCACATGTATATCCAAGCTGTAGACAGGCTGATACAAGCAAATAGCCCTTCAGGTAATTAGGTACCACTTTGCTTTAAGCTTTAAATAGCAGCACTTTAAATGGAATCCAGAAACATCAGCAATCAGTGCACTGGGCATATTATAGAAGATAGATGTATTGATTGACTAGCATTTTGCTTGGCCGAGGGTTTGTTGACCAAAGTAAAAGCTACTGACTGACTGACTGACTAGCATTTTGTCAATTCTTCTTATACAGGCAACTGCATTTTGCACTTATTGATATTTTTGATCCATCTTCAATTGAAGTCTTATATAGACTGCATTACCAGAGATCAGAGGTCTGAATGGACAACTTAAGGAAAATAAATTCTCCCCTGATAGGATTGCTAGATGTATTTCACTAAGTTGGTAAAAAGTACACCAAAGACATCACTGCCATCTGAGATTCCCCAGTGACTATTGAGTCAAGAGGAATACACAAACTTCTAAAACTGATTCACACTCAACCCATTGCTGTGCATGTTTCTTTGGTGTATCTACACAGTAGAAATATTGTAGTTTGGAAATATCTTAACTCTCATGGCTCAGTGCTACGAAATCCTGGGATTTGTTCTTTGTGAGGCACTAGCACTTTTGGGCAGAAAAGGATAAAGACCTTGTAAAACTACAACTCCCATGAATTCATAGCATTGAACCATGGTACTTCAGTAGATGCACTCTGAGAAGAAAATTCCACTGTTTTCAATGGGTGTTGTTTACCCATTTAGCTTTATGCTTAGATCAAACCTATCTTATTTTGGGAGAGGGAAAGATTTAAAATTCAGTGAAAGGTAAGTTGAATAAGAGATGTCATATGCCATCATGTGTTTGCCTCATCTGTTGACCCTATTGTCACACGTCCCTCATGTTCTTCCCTCCATTACATTAACACCCTAAGTTAATACCTTGATCCTTAGCCTGTCCTCATGAATATGCTTCCTGGCACTTGTACATTGTTTCCCTCCTCACGAACCTCCAACTTTCCTTCTTCTCTCCTTGCAGTCTCACACATATGTGAACACAGGTGGTGGTGAGGAAGACATGAGGGGTCACCACTGCATGCACACTCTGCCTGAAGTCCATCCTCCTGTTTCTCATCCCAGCCATAGCTGCTCTTTGGAGGATCGCAATCCTCAGATATACCTACAGCCAGGAGAGGTGAAGTTTGTGCTGGGCCCTCCTCCTGGTTACAGGCACATGATGAAATGTGATGGTTTCTGCCGACCCCATTGGGAGTGCACAGGGCATATCTGTACCCACAACAATAACAATGAGTGCAAGGACGAGTGCCTTACCCCAAAGTATGTCTATGAGAATATCAATGGCCTCCTGCCTGCTCGAGGTACCTTGCATCGCCGGGGAAGTGGGCGCTTGAAAATAGCTCGAGAAGATCTGAATCCACCCAGTTGCTCCCATCGTCGGACCACCCTACTACACTATGAGAACCTGCCCTCACTGCCACCTGTGTGGGAGTGCCAACCACTGAGACAAGAGCAGGATGATGAGGACTCTGGAGATGCAATGACACCTTCGCCCAATGGTTATCCTGACCTGGAGGATGAGGAGGACCCTTTGCGAAACTACATGAATTCAGAAAGTGCTGCCCTGCATGGAGGCCGGCATAGGGGCGGTTGTTTACAACGCCGCCGCAGTTGCACACCCAGCGTCTTCAATTTTGACTTCCGACGACCCTGTTTGGAGCAGCCGAGGCAGCTCAATTATATCCAGGTGGAACTGGAGGATGACCCCCACAAAGGGTGCCAAAGCACACCAGTCCCCCGTGCCCCACGTTCGGCTGTCCACCCAGCCCGCAGGACGGATTCCTACGCGGTCATTGATCTTAAAAAGACAGCAGCCATGTCCAGCTTGCAGAGGGCACTGCCTAGGGATGATGGGACTTCTAGGAAAACGCGGCATAACAGCACTGACCTCCCTCTATAAGAGGGATGCCAAACCCAAGCACCACATTGTGGCTTTTGTTCCTGCTCTTCAGCTAATCATGTTGCATATCTGGCATCTTCCCATTGTGCCCCGTGTTTCTCAGTGTGACTCACTTGGATAGCTCCATAAGGTTAACTTGAGAAATGTAGCCTCTCTGTGCCTCTTCCCATTTCCATCCCGCCCCCATTTCTCCTGCCATATAGTTTTTGAAGCCCTGCCAAGTGGATGAAAACTTTGGTTATTAACTGGAGGAGTAACATTAGAAATACTACCTGTTCCCTCTCTTATTTTGTGAATCTTATCTGGAAATCCTTCCTTCCCATTTTTGTGGGATCAGTTTTAAACCACTAGTGATTGGAAGTGTTGGGTCTGGAAAAAAAAGCAAAACATTGCAAAGTAATGAGCAAAAACTATTCAAACTTTTGATGGTAGAGGTAGAACGATGGACAGAGAGTGCTTTATCTATCCTTCTTTGTTTTTGAAGATGTACAAAGGGATATTTATTTTTGAAATATTTAGTTATGTATTTATTTATGTATTTATTTATGTATTTATGTATTTATATGTTTGTTTATTGGTCAGGGGTCCACCCCTACTTTATTTATTTATTTATTTATTTATTTATAATTATGCCTCTGAGTTAAAGTGCCAAGCAAAAGTAAAATGCTTTGTGGTTTGATCTTCTTTTCATGGGAGGGAAGCGTGATCAAGCCTAGAGTGTTGGATTAGATCCCGTTGCTTTAATGGTGCCTATCAAAGTGGATCACTGAGGAGGGAGAGCCATGAATCCATTTCAGTTGGGAAATGAATGTAAGAATGGGTCTGATCTCATGAATATAATTCCCAGATATAATTCTACATGTAAAGAAGTCCAATTTCCTAGCTCACATCCCTTTATCTTAGTTTTACCTTTTCCCTTGGCATTTCAGCAAAAAGAACCACTGGATTGTATATTGCAAAAACACTTTTTTTAAAAAAAGCCTTTCATAGACTGCTGCTATTCCTTTCTTACTTGTCTGACAGTGTCTTTGTGAGAAGCCAACTTTATCATAGTGTCAGTGCTAGGAAGAGATTTAAATACAGATGTGGTTTGTTGCTTTCCTGGTGTCATTTGGAACCTCTCTCCCTCAGCCTTGTGTTATTGTGTCCAGCTCTTGTCATTTGACTATGAGTGGATCCTAATGCAGCATTTGTGAGTAATGAGTCTGAAGACTAAACACAGCCTTTTACATAACTTAGCTGACAAATTCAGCTTTAAATTATGGTTCCACATCTGGGTTGTTGTGTGTGTTTTACGGGCTGTATGGCCATGTTCCAGAAGCATTCTCTCCTGATGTTTCGCCTGTATCTATGACAGGCATCCTCAGAAGTTGTGAGGTCTGTTGGAAACTAGGAAAATGGGGTTTATATATCTGTGGAATGCCCAGGGTAGGAGAAAGAACTCTTGTCTGTTTGAGGTAGGTGTGAACGTAGCAATTGGTTTCACATTTGCTTTAGAAGGAAGATAACTCTAAAATAAGGAATATGCACATGGCAGTTTCACACACCCCCATTTTTGCTGCTGCTTCTTTGCCTCCAAGTGCAGCTCCTCCAAGAATAATCATTTACCTGCTTCTCTTGCTGCTGTCATGTGCTGTCAAGTCAGCCAACTGTATGAGTGAGGGATCTCTTGAAAACTCACCATGTATTAAGCCTTTACAGAAATGGGGGTTAGAAGCTCTCCTAGCAGTAGTTGTAATTTGTTGGTACTCCTCAATAGAGGTGGTAGCCACCCAAGGCACCTCAATGTATGTGCTTGGATTGCAGGTGAATTCAAAGGTACAGAGATTTCTTTTTTGCTTCTGGAAGAAAAGGCATATAGATGCATTGCCCTCTCACACCTCATAATTTCCAGAGCTGTTTTTGCTGTTGTTGTTTTCAGAGTAAGGGGTAGCTTTTAAGAGTTGTTTTTAGCGATCAAGCCACCAGCCATGAGAAGCTTAAGTGGTCAGTACACTTTTATCTTTAATCAGATTCATTGAATAATGAATTTAATTTTGCTTCATCACCAATGCCTTTCTAAGTGCTACACCACAAATACAACAGAAGTTGATTAACAGATGTTAATGAGGAATGGCCTTTCATCATTAGGTATTTTCTGTGACACTCTCTCTTTTCATACATTGCTAAAACTAGTGAGAAAATGCCTTCTCTTATTTCTTTTACGTAGAATCAAAGTAATTGCTTGTCTCTAATTGCCACTGTAAACTAGTTTCAATAACTGTGATACTTCCACTACTTATAATGGCTTATAGTTCATTTCCTGAATTCGTGTCCTGTTGCTCATGGATGAGTAGTAACTAATGGCTTGCTTGTAATGAGATATTGGACAGGTAAGTACAAATCCAGAGAAGTGAATCAATTTCTCAGATAGTCTTTAATCACAACTTGGTGTGAATAGCAAGCCAGACTGTCTGTAGCGAACCTGATTTATGAATTCAGTTAACATAAAGAATTAGTGCTAGTGCAGCCTCACAATTAGGGAATATAAGAGTTAATTAATGATCAAATAACTTTGGTTTGGAAGCAGAGACTAGGAAATAATACCTGATCTCGCACAACAGCCATTCAATAGTTGGGAAAGAGAAGGAAAAAATACCACAGAGGTCTCCATGATTTCTGTTTTGGGTTCTTTTACCCGAGGATTTTGCAAAAGAATAATTAGAGGGAGGGGAGAAAAGCCCTCATTGGATTTCACGAGGCAATGACCTATGCTATTTGGAACTGTTTGCTTATCAGAAGAGCTGGGATTTTGCTTTTGAAATCTGATGTTTTTTAGATCCTTGGTACAAACTTGAAGACATGAAATGTCCACAGCCCAGATTTTAAATGATTGAGAAATCATTTAAATGATTGAGAAATCATGGAGACCTCTGTGGTATTTTTTCCTTCTCTTTCCCAACTATTGAATGGCTGTTGTGCGAGATCAGGTATTATTTCCTAGTCGCTGCTTCCAAACCAAAGTTATTTAGCATGGCTAAAGTATTTTGTGGAGACAGCGAATCCGCAGTCTCCATAAAACTGGCTTTAGCTTGCTGCCCCCCAGCGTTGTCTTTATGAAGTGTATGCCTATTGTTAACCTTTCCTAAGTGTCTGTCTTGTATTTTCTGACTATTAATTTTGGTAGACATTGGCTGTTTTCACACCCATCTGTGCTATGCCAACAAAGACGTTTCCAAGACAAGTTATAATTGGTCTTATTGTCAAGAGAACAAGTGTAAGGTTGACAAGAAGTGGAAGGTTGCCATCACTTGTTTTTGACAGAGGGCTCTCTGTATAGGTGCATGAGAAGCATGATGCCAAAAGGTGGCACTTCCCTCCATGATAACAATGTAGTAATCAAGAAAGCGATGTGTGTGGAACGTGCCTGTCTCATGGAGCTTTTAAGGGTACAGGATTGCTTTGCTTGGAAGAATTCTAAAAAGCAACATTTCTAAAGAGACGGTTTTAAAAACTCATTCTTTTTATCCTAAAGTCTTTCTATACCTACACTTCAGTCCAAACTTATTTACGAAACCTGTAATAATCTATTTGATATAAATTAGGATGGCATTGATTTGAGAAATTAATGCTTCAGTTCAGTCCTCTGTCAACATCTAAAAGTAAATATAAATTTTCAAAACAATTATTTTAGTAGTTCTCCTGTCTAGGCTTTAGAAAATGATTTCTCTGTTTCCTAATCTCTGTGTGTTGGCTTTTATTTGTTTTATCTTTTGATTTGCACATTTGAGCAACCATTTACAGAATGTGTGGTTCAGAGATGTGAAGAGAAATTGTGATTTTCTCATTTACTTTCATGTGTCACATTAGCCTTAATAATAACAAAGCTAGCAAAACAGAAAGTTCTGTGGCCTTCTAGGCAATCTCAATAAACCTCATAGGCATAATGGGTCACGCTGCCCCATCTCTTGACACAAGGTGCTTGGCATCCAAAGTGGATATTTACCTTCTTTTAAGGTGCTATGAGAAGGACAGTTAAGTTCAACATATTAATTCTGTCAGTTACCTTTGTTGGACTAACTTGGGTTGCTATCATTTTCCCCTGAAGAGGTTGCCTTGCTTTTCCCAACACTGGGGCAGGCAAAAATGAACCCAGTACAGGTTTTCTCATCATGGCTGTGCAGTTATGTGGAAGGTGTTTACATAGGGTTTGCGTGACATAAGTGCCAAGAATTATTATAGACTTTGCTTTGCACATTGAATACAATCTTTGGTTGGTTGTTTCTTTGTTTTACACTTGGTATGAAAGGGATGAGATGTTTCTAATATATGCTTCATTAACTCACAGTGGATGTGTCTGTACTTCTTGATTGGGTAACTGTCTTGCTTCTTGTGTGAAAGAAGAGGCCTTATTTGTAAATTTTCTGTATAGCCCGCCCTACACTACTTTACATGTGTTTGTTGTGTTCTTGGATGGTGGAAAAACAGAACAAAGCTGTGTCTAAATAGCGATAACAATGATGTATAGTGCCATTTCTTTTCCAATGACCAGGGAACCTGCATCTGGCAGTATTTTTCTTCATACACAGGTGTTAAAAGTGCAGGACCTCTGTCCCACGTGAACTGTGACCACCTCATGGTTGTATCCTTCTTCACAACTTTTCAGCTTCTTCTGGAATTCTGAAATCCCGCAGTTACCTTTGTTGGCTGGATGCATTTATGTTAGATATGTTACCAGACTAGAACCTAGGAAATATGAGTCACTGTTTAACTTACTCAGTATACCGAAAGAAATATCACTGCAGAAAGGAAGTCCCATTTCCCCAGTTAAGTGATTCCTTCTGAAAAGTCCAACTAGCAAGGCAAATCTCAAGCTTTTACCATGTGCAGTTTTCTTCATAGTTACTTGTACTTAATGTCTTTGATACTGACACTCTCTGATGTGGCAGGAAAGGCACTTGGGGATGCCCAGCTGCTCTGGCTGTACAAGTTGCTTTGTGATTTTTCTTCAAGTGGCTCCTGCTGTGTACCTCTGTTTCTTTCCTCTTTATGTCTCATCTAAGTGTAGCCTTCAAAGCGAAGAGCATTAGCAGTGCCATGTGATCGAGGAGCGCTCGTGTCTTATTTTAATGTGCACTAAGAATGTATCTGAAATAAATTAAATCTGATGATTATCTTTTGGAAGGTGTGGCTTGTTTTGATTTGTGGACAAGAACAACATATTTAGCTGTGACTATCTTGACTCTGATAGTATCTTCCTTTTGTCCTGTAGCCCAAGACTTCTGTATCATTTTTGTCGCTAGATTCGCATAACCTTTTATCAGATCTTGCAGTGGAGTTCCTTGTGAAATCTATACTTGAGCAGTACTTTATCCTATTTATAGATACGAAATGGGAGAAGGTGATTAGCAAGGTCTAAAATATTCTTACTCCAAGGACTGAAGTATCTAATGTAAGCGGTTAATGGATGCAGCAAGTGTTGAATAACATGGAGAATCCAAACCTGTGTGCCTTGGGAGGTCATCTCAAGTCATAAGCATTGCTCCCACCAGTGAGGAAACTTATCTGGGCTAGTGTCAACAAACTCTTGTAGAACAAAACCAGAGACTGTGATCTGAAATAGCAGATTTGGTTTATAACAGATGTTTCCATGAAGTGTTCTCTACAGTGCAGATGCAAGCCTCTTTCTACTAGAAACTTTTATAGAGGGGATGATTTCCCCTTTTCAGTTTCTCACAAGAAGGGTGATAATCTCATAGTCTTATCTACCAAAACTGCCAGGCTCAAATGAATACTGTAATGAGACACTGAGCCTATGCTAAGAAATATCTCTCTCAGTGCCTATTTGATATGCATGATAGAATTCTGCAAACCTAGCAGATACCCCAAACTATATCCTTTCCTGATAAATGCCATACTCATCAAGTTATCTTTTCGTGAGTGTGCCCTTGAAGATAAAGCTTTCCTCTGAAATACATTAAGCCTATCAGTAAAACAAAGATGCTGGGTGGCCCTTTCTAGTGTTTTCTTGTAGTTAACCTATTATTTCCCTGCCTCTGGTTTTGACATCAAAATGAATAACCATACAGGAGTTGTTTGAACAATCACTATCTGAAAACTAGAAAATGTGTTGAGATTTTCCCCACTCGGTGGAGCTAAATCTAATTGGTGTGTCTTAAAATACTGAAATTGGAACTGTGTAACTAAGTTTTGATCTGTCCAGCAATGAAAGTTATTAAGTCATTAGAAAAAAATTTAATGATCTTGATACTCCATCGTTTTTAAACTGTGTTACATAACTGGAATGATAAACTAAAACACCTGTGTGAGGCCCGCTGAATGGTGAAGTATACATGTAAACTTTTGGTTCTAACATAAATGGTACAGAAAATGGAAATTATTCCAGTGTTCTTCTTATCAGCTTTAAAAACTATAAATGCAACAAACAGACAGATCTTTGCCTGGCATAGAAATATCCACAGAGTCTCTAATGAGATGCCTGGAAGAGACCATTCTGAAGTCCAAGAGCCACTGTGAAGAAGGCCCTGTATAGTTTCACTGCCAAAGATAATTGAATATGAAGGTATTTCTTCCTCAGCTAGAACAAGGAATATGGGTAGACTCCATTTGCAAAGACAGCCTCTGAATGCCATATGCTAGGACAATTGATGGGGGAGGCCTCTTGCTGTTTCCTTTGTAACCATTATTGGGTGCAATATTCTGGACAAGAGGATTTGATGAAACATCACACTTTAGGTTACCAATGCTGCATTTTAATGCAGTGTTTCCAAATTCTGTTTATATACATTTTAACAATTTCTGGATTTGAATTAGAGCCAAATGGCTGCTATGTTTTGTGGCATTCCTATTGCTTTGATTTCTTCTTTTGGTATTTTATACACAGACAAATCCATAAGGGTTGTTTCCTATTACACCCTTTATGGGATTCTGCTGGTTTTGTTCAGAAGATTTCTAAAACAGTTTTAGCAATTTCCAGTTTGTATACAAAGCTAAATCACCTAAAAATCACCTAAAAATACAGTACCTCTATTTTTTAAAAAATCAAACAATTTGGCCACAGACTTGGATGGCGTCAAAAGGGAATCCATGGAGGTGAAGATATCAATTAGAGTCATGATGACTGTGAACTGTCTTTAATATTGCGTAGTAGACAGAAAACAAAATTGAGAAGGTACTACTACATCCATCCCCTACCATAAGCATCTGGATGATTATGGTAGAAAGAGAAGATTTGTCTAGACTAGTGGTATGCAACTTGCGCCCCTCCAGATATTTGGGACTCCAACTCCCAGAAGCCCTAGCCAGCTTGGTCAGGAATTCTGGGAACTGAAGTTCAAAACACCCAGAGGGCCACAGGTTGTGCACCACTTGTCTAGATAGACCTTTGGACTGCTACAGCAGGTATTATATGTTTTCATAAGAGCTCAGCAACAGTCTAAATATCGTGAAGGTACCAGATCCTTTTTGATCTTGGAAGCTATGCAGAACCGCACCTTGGATGGGAGGCAGGCAAGGAATACCAGCTGTTGTAGGTTGTATTTCAGAGGAAGGCAACACCAAACTGCCTTTTAGTATTCCTTGTCCCCAAAACCTGTGAAATTCAGAGTCACTATAAGATGACGAGTGACATGAAAGTAGGTATACCCCTTCACACCAGAAATTTAAATGATTGAGCAGGGTTGAGCAGGGATTCATGGTTGAGCAGGGATTCAGACTCTGTTCTCCAGAGTCTTAACCCAATGCTCAAACCACTATGCCATGCAAGCATAATGTTCCCTAGCTTGATATACGTACTATTGTCAATTGGACTGTTGTAAACCAGACCATCCCCCAGACTATCTGAAGATGAACCTTAAGGAAGTGGTGATGGTAGAAGTGTCTGGCTTAATGCTCCCTGGCCCCATCTTATTGCTCAGATTCACACACACACACACACACAAAGTAATTCCTCTCAGCATTGGAATTTTTGCAGAATTCCATCAAATCAGAGGTTGCATAATGGTGTTGGCTGTATGCTTGTATTTTTGTATATACTTTGCCCTCTGGAACTCTACTTTGTGAAGAATAATTATGAACTACAATGGGACCTGTTTCCACAGCATATCATACATGATAACACTACCTTAAGTGAATGGCTGTTTATCTTTTCTCCATTTTTGAATTGAAACTGCAGAGGGCACTAAAAGTGCCACGTGGCATGCAATCTGATATTAAATGCCAAATCCTGTTGAGCTGAATGGTGCCAGGTGGGCACTGGAAGCTTTTTATCTGGCAGCCACTCTGTTTCTGAGTGACTTTGCACTCAGCCAAAGACGGATTTGCTCTGAACCATGGATAAAATTTTAATGTTCCTGAAAGTTGACAAAGGTGAAAAGTGTTATGAGGACAGAACTCTTACATGAAGTCGTAGAATAAAAAACTAGGGCCAACATCCATAGCAGTGTTTCTATGGATGGAAGCTGCTTCCACTGGTAGCAGTGGGAGCGAGGAGGTCACTATCCCTCTGCCAACACCCCATGCACCCTAAAAACCTGCCATGGAGGATTTCCCAGTCCTTAGAAATCTAGTTTTAGCATAACGGATGAATAGTCCAAAAGCATAGCACTGGCCTTTGCCTGAATCAGATTAAAAACGGCAGATAAAGCTCCAAAAATAAAGCTAGAATATTGTTGGGCCACAAATGCTCCATTGAGACTGCCTTGATCAGATAAAAAGGGCATGAAGGAGAAGGGAAATACAGTTTGCCAAGGAGAAATAATCAACAAAATAATAAATGGTATTGAAATGATAAAGCAACTGTTTTCTCTTTCTCTTTTCTTTTTTAATGTTACACAGCAAGCTACCTTAAACTGAATAGGTCATTAATACATCTAGTTTAGTATTGTTGTTCTAGTTTTCCAGGACATTTGAGCAGAATCCTAATCTAACCCTGCCTGCAGATCCTTGGCAATACCTGATGGTTTTCATCCAGGTACTGATCAGGCCTGCCTGCGTGACTTTGCTTAGCTTCGGGGTGGCATGGTGGTACATCATTACATATCTGCTTCAATTAAATCTGAACAATATTCCTTAAAACTGCTCATGGTAAAGAGATGGGAAGCCATCTGTTGTCCACCCAAAATGAAGCCTATGAGAAAGTGCCATATGATTGTAGAGCACATGCTTTATATACAGATGGTGTTGGTTTCATCTCCTGGCTTCTCCAAGTAAGGTTGAGAAAGCCACCTATCAAAAATTATTGGCAGCCAGATTGACACTCATAAAGTCAGTTAGCTTAGTATAGATGTCATTGATCTCAATAAATAGTTTGATAAGAGATGGGAACGATACTTTTAAAAGCAAAACATTAAGTTATTTCATTACTTGTTCAAAACATAACATTGCATTAGTTGTTGCACTTTATATTCCTTTCCATTATTTTCTTAAGGGAAGAAATTTAGGATTGATAAGGATGTAACCTAAAATTAGATTTTCTGACGATATGTATACAAAGCTACCATTACAAAGAAACTTACAAAACATTACTAGTTACACTAGCAGCAAACTATGGCTCTTGCAGGTTTCCATGAAAAGCAAATATACTTTTTTCAACCCATAGAAGTGTTGAAGAGGACTTGGAAGGACCTGGGTCCAACAGAAACTTCCTCATGGGCCACATCGGACCCTGAAGGCCACACACGGCTCACCATGACTATAAACAATTGTGACTGGGAAAATCCTCCATAGTGGGGAGAGTCCTAAAGCAGGAAAGCTGGACAGCATTAGAAAGTTGTGCTATACTTCACTAGTAGTAATAGAACAGAAAAACAGGACATTCCCCTGTCTATATCAGGCATGGGCAAACGTCAGCCTTCCAGGTGTTTTGGACTTCAACTCTCCCACAAGTCCTAATAGCCTCAGGCTATTTTGGGGGAGGGGGAGCGAAAGGGTATAAGGCTATTAGGAAATTGCTATTAGGAAAAAACCTTCGACAACACATCGGCCTCTAGTTTCTTTCTGGAATGCTACTTTACAGATGCCAAGTGGGTTTATGAGGGCTCCACTAAGAACAATGCTCAATTCAGTACATTCCTGCAAATATTCCAAGAGTCAAGTAAGTATTAGCATTAGTTCATCTCCACAGTGCAGCATTAGAACTGCTGTTTTCCTATGCATATGGTTAAGTGAAGGCACCCTAGTCCACCAAGCATGTTGCAGATGATGGCGGGCTGCAGTTTCCATAGATTTAGTTAGTATGATGAGGGATGATGAGATCCAACAACATTAGGAAAACCACCCTTTGCCTACCCTTGAATTGAAGGAATCGTGAGCAGCAGGTGGTGGAGAAGTTGTGTTTATTCATTCAGTTGCTTCTAACTCTTTGAGATCTTCTGGACCAGCCCACACCAGAGCTCCCTGTTGGCTGTGGCCACCCCCAGTTCCTTCAAAATCAAGCCAGTCACTTCAAGGATATATTAATCCATCTTGCCCTTGGTCGGCCCCTCTTCCTTTTTCCTTCCATTTCCCCCAACATCATTGTCTTATCCAAGCATTCCTGTCTTCTCATTATGTGGCCAAAGTACTACATCTTTGCCTCTAATATCCTTCCCTCCAGTAAGCAGTCAGGCTTTATTTCCTGGAGTATGGACTGAATGGTGGAGAAAACTTGTATCCAAAACTCTGAAGCCAGGATCCACCAAAATTTGGCCTAATTTATGATTGAATTTTCTAAACCCAGGAATGGCAAAATGTGGTCCTCCACATGACATTGGACTGCATAAGACTAGTTGATGATGTTGGCATTTCTACATAATCTAATCGAAAGAGAAATAATGGGACTTTCCATGATGTGGTGCAATGCTGACATAACATTGATAAGGCTTTGTATAGAAACATTAAAGGTGACATAACTACTGATGCTAAACATGCATTTTTTTCCATTCAGGTCCAGGTTCCACCTATACACCTTTTCTTTCATTACCCCTTGAGAAAATACACATTAAACAAACTATTATACCTCAAACAAGTGATAGATAAAGCATGTTAGATATGTAGTTCACAAGGTTATTGTTTTGTTTTAAAGAAAACTGTATGTATGATGATAAGAAACACTATGGACCTCTGCCTCTAACATATGGGGTTAACACTAACTCACATTCTAGAGATAAAGGGGCTCTAAGAAGAACCTCAGAGTGAAGTGTTGTTGACCCAAAGATAAGGTCCTGATCTGTGAATGTGGCATTGCTGGAAGTGGGTGGAGGAAACAGCATCATGTAGGGTATAAAAGTAGCAGCCCTGGTGCGCTAAAACCCACACGGTATTCGAAGGCCAAGCTGCAGAAGCTAAAAAAATCAGAAGCTGCATCTAAGAAAAGGGCACCATGAAGTGGCTAATCCTTGCTATGGTGTGCCTTCACCTTTGTGAAGGTGCAGTTATCAAGTGAGTATGAAATAATAACCTTGGGGATTTCTCAGTTGCTTTGCAGCTGCACTTGAACCTGGAAACCAGGGAAAAAGTGGTATGTAATAGCAATGTTTTTGGACTGATGTAATCACATTTATGCATTTTGAGCCATCTCACCTCAATTTTACAGCCACACCTCACGTCAATGAACAGGTCATTTCAAATTTGTCTAGAATCAAACCAATATATACAATATTCAAAATATATGGACTTGAAAGCATGCATGCAAAGAGCATGGGCTAAGCAAGTATATTAAAATAGGTAGGTATTTCCTAAAATACATTTTCTTGAAGGAATGATCTAGAACAATAATCTAGACAATATTTTGCCCACTGAAGATACCTTCAGTATCTGTGGCTTAAAAAGCTCTTCAAAAATCTCTATAATTATCTTTCAAATCAGGAAAGGGATTGGATATTCAGCTACTTTTTGATGACAAGCCTTCTAATGCTTTTGCTGTTGACAATTTTGTCTGAAGCTTCTCAGAACTGTATACATGGGGAGAAGCAACGATTCCCATTACTTTTTAAAGCAACAATATGCAACTTAGGCCTATTTGTGTTTATTCAAATTAGTCAATTAGTGTAGCTAGATTTACTCCTGACAATTGAACTGACGTTGAAAAGAAATTGGTTATTTGAGCAAAAACAGCCAGAATCACCCAACTAGCATTCAAAAACAATGGAACTTGTTCAGATCAAACTGGACTATATGATTAAGTCAGACTTTAGCTGAATTGGTAATCTATATTATAAAATGTAGATAATAGTAATGGCTTTATCATGAATTGTCAGGTGGAAAGTATATCCATAAATATATCTTGGAGTTTCAGCAGGGATCTGCTGAAGCTACCTACTATTTAGAATAAAAACACAAACCACTTCTTTTGGAGATCATAATCTAGAGCAGGCATAGGTAAACTTGGGCCCTCCAGGTGTTTTGGACCGCAACTCCCACCATTCCTAACTTCTTCAATCCCCTTCCTTTTCCTTAAGTAGCTGAGGGGGAAAAGGAAAGGGCCTGAGGCTGTTAGGAATGGTGGGAGTTGAAATCCAAAACACCTGCAGCGAGGGCCCAAGTTTGCCCATGCCTGATTTAGAGAGTCAAAGAAAAGGAGAGAGAAAAAAGAACCAAAGCAAATGATAACCATGTTCCCAAATGGTTTTGCTTAACATCTTTGATTAGCTCACTTGTATCATTGGAAGAAGTACATTTTAAAGATGGGCAAAATCTGAAGATAGACTTCTTCATGTAGACAGAAGAGAAGAAAAAAACTCCTACTCCTCATCCTTCTTCTTTGAATTTATTTGTCTTTGAATTTATCTGTCTCCTCTAATGACTTTCCCAATAATAATCCTATGGAGTAGGTCAGATAGATAGCAAGGATCTGGCCCAAGTTCATCTAGGGAGTTTCGCAGCTCAGTGTGGGCTTAAATCTGAATTTATTACCAAGTTCCAAGCCATCATTTTAACCCCTATACAGCATTGACTCTTGAGCACACATTATGCTGGAAACCTATATCGCCTCTTACTAATGTAACTTTATGTATATTTACCTAAATAGCAGAAGTACCAGGAAACCCTGCTAGTGAATTGTGAAGAATGGCATGAGCTATTTTGTCAGCTGTGCAATAAAATTACATAACAGCCTCCTAGAACCATAGAATCATAGAGTTGAAAGAGATCTCATAGGCCATCCAGTTCAACCCCCTGCCAAGAAGCAGGAAAATTGCATTCAAAACACTCCCGACAGATGGCCATCTAGCCTCAGTTTAAAAGCCTCCAAAGAAGGGGCTTCCTCTACACTCAGGGGCAGAGAGTTCCACTGCTGAGTTCCTACATGATATAGACCTCAAAACTGTCCAGTTCTTATCCCTGCATACATAAATCCACTTATAAAGACTCCCATACAGGATTCTGGCCTGCCTGCAGTTGTCACTTACATAGGTGTCAAGCTGGTGATTAATTCTTTGCCCCTTCTTCCAATACAGAGTTCCCCTGAAAAAATGTAAGTCCATGCGAGAGGTTATGAAGGAGAAGGGTGTCCTGGAAGAATTCTTAAAGAATAATAAATATGACCCAGCAAGCAAGTTCCTTAATGAATTTGCCTCTGGCTATGAACCCCTGTCTAACTACATGGATGTGAGTATCTGGCTATTTGATTATGGAATGATGGGAACTGGAAAGAGAAATATTTCACCAAATCAGAAACCTGGCCCTGGCTGAATGTCAGTGCTTAAATCCTGCCCATGGAAATGTTTATCTTAAGCTTTGGCTCTAGTTGTATATGAAAAAGAAGGAAGGGAATGTGAAGTAACATGGGGAAAATAATTGGAAGATGCCAACCTTCCAGGTGAAACGTCAAGAGAAAATGCTGCTAGAACATTGTCACACAGCTCGGAAACCACACAACACCCCAAAATCTATTATAATGTGGAAACCATGCATATGATTAATACGTGTGTCATGCTTAGCAGTGAACCAGTTTTGAAAACATGGGGATATGCCTACCTGAATCAGTTGGAATGTTTTCTAAAACTACTAATTCTGAAATAACATTATTTATTTATTTATTTAAAAAATATATTGTTGTTTTAAGACCACTTATGAAATACTTTGGGGAAGAGGATTTTTTCTTGTTTCAAACAGTTGTTTTGCTGAACATGCAAAAGTTCTTTGGATAACTGTGTGGTGAACCCACTGATGACAACAGTGTCCTTCCCCCTGTAGATGTCCTACTATGGAGAGATCAGCATTGGAACCCCACCACAGAACTTCTTGGTTCTCTTTGACACTGGGTCATCCAACCTCTGGGTGGCTTCAGTATATTGCCAGAGTGAAGCCTGCAGTGAGTATCAATCACCTTGCTCATAATGGGAATGAACAATATTGCATGAGTGAAGATACTAATATCTAGCACAGGGGTCCTCAAATTTTTTAAACAGAGGGCCAGGTCACAGTCCCTCAAACAGTTGGAGGGCTGGATTTTAATTTGAGAAAAACATGAATTCCTATGCACACTGCACATATCTTATTTGTAGGGCAAAAAAAAAACACTTAAAAGCAATACAATAATTAAAATGAAGAACAATTTTAACAAATATAAACTTATTAATATTTCATTGGAAAGTGTGGGTCTGTTTTTGGCTGATGAGATAAGATTATTGTTGTTGTTGTGTGCTTTCAAATCATTTCAGACTTAGGTTGACCCTGAGCGAGGGCCGGGTAAATGACCTTGGAGGGCTGTATCTGGCCCCCAGGCCTTAGTTTGATGACCCCTGATCTAGCAGATGCAAAGTCTATGCAACCATAAGCTCATTGTCTGTAGTGGGCAAGAGGGAGGATAGCTTGTTTATGATATTATAACCTTTTGAGCTGAAAAGTGATACCTTTCTAACTTCACCTTGCAATTTCCACTACTAGCAAACCATCCACTGTACAACCCGAACCAGTCTTCTACTTACTCCACCAATGACCAAAGCTTCTCTCTGCAATATGGAACTGGAAGTCTCACCGGGATCTTTGGCTATGACACTGTCACTGTAAGTATCAGAGCTCCAAAGGAAGGTGTTTGTCCCACTGGTGACAACTTGATGCTGATATATTCAAAAGAGAAGTTCAAAACAGTAACTCTGTTCTGTACACTCCTTATGCCAAATTAGCCAATAACCAAGAGATGAATTCTTAAGACATCTGTCCCTTCAACTACTTCAGTGTTTCTCAACCTTCCTAAAGCTGTGACCCCTTAATACAGTTCCTTATGTTGTGGTGACTCCCAACCATAAAATTCTTTTTGTTGCTACTTCATAACTGTAATTTTGCTACTATTATGAATAATATTATAAATATCTGATATGAAGGATGTATTTTCATTCATTGGACCAAATTTTGCACAAATATTCAATACGCCCAAATTTGAATACAGGTGGAGTTGGGGGGGGGGGGGGGTGCTTTTGTCATTTGGGAGTTGTAGTTGCTGGGATTTATCGTTAGCCTAAAATCAAAGAGCATTCTGAACTCCACCAATGATGGAATCAAACCAAACTTGGCACACAGAACTCCCATGACCAACAGAAAATACTGGAAGAGTTTGGTGGGCATTGGCCTTGAATTTTGGAGTTGTAGTTCACTTACATCCAGAGAGCACTGTAGACTCAAACAGTGATAGATTTGGACCAAACTTGGCATGAATACTCAATATACCCAAATGTGAACACTGGTGGAGTTTGGGGAAAATAGATATTGACATTTGGAAGTCGTAGTTGCTGGGATTTATCTTTCACCTACGATCAAAGAGTATTCTGAACCCCACCAATGATAGAATTGGGCCAAATTTCCCATACAGAACTTCCATGACCAACAGAAAACACTGTTTTCTAATGGTCTTTAGCGATGCTTCTGACACCCTCTCCCTCGCGACCCCCCCCCCAGGGGTCCTGACCCCCAGGTTGAGAAACTCTGATCTACTTGATGATGACTGACTGTACATGTGTCTGCATATAGTTTGAATTGCTGCATACAAAACATTTATTTGTAATCCTGAATATTTGTGGAATCATTCAGTTTCTCAGATGTTTACACTCTTCTGACGGGATGCATTCTTTGCAGTAACAAGCCTTGCTGGGATTCTTTTGTGTTGACATTTTTTTCTCCCACTCCCCTGTAGATCCAAGGCATTTCCATTACCAGTCAGGAATTCGGCTTGAGTGAAACTGAACCTGGTACTAACTTTGTCTATGCCCAATTTGATGGCATCCTGGGAATGGCTTATCCTGCCATCTCTTCTGGTGGTGCTACCACTGTGCTGCAAGGACTGCAGCAGGAAAACCTTCTGGATTCCCCTGTTTTTGGCTTCTATTTGAGCGGGTAAGGGTGAAGACAGCATTTTTTTCCTTTGACATTTGACATGTCTTGATCTGTGTGTACATTTCATGGAGGTCCTACCACCTATAGTAATGATCAATAGGAAAAAAGCCAGTCTTTCATTCTGTTGGTTTTATAAACCTAAAAAATCACCATCATTTCAGCAATGATAGGAAACTACCCGATGAAAAGAAAAAGTTGGAAAATATATACTCTGGAAAAATATTAATTCTTTCCTGTCCAGAATGCCAATGGTGGGTGACTTTCAGGTTGAAAATGGATAATTTAGCAGTACAAAAGAAATTTAATTTTCCAAGATGTTACTTATACAGAGTTAATCAGTGCAATTGCTGGTACTAATTTAACCATGAGAGGTTAAGAGAGAAAGATTAGCTGAAATTCATCTGGCAAACTTTGTGGCTAGGTGGGCATTTGAACCCTGATTTTTGAGCCTGAAGGCCAATATTCTAACTTTGAATGTATACAGTCTGCAGTATAGTTACAGTATAGCTGAAATTGTTATCACAGCCACATATCTTTGTCAACTCTTTCCCCATCAACTTCAGTTTTAGTCAGTCATTGAGACATCTTTGTCTCTTTTAGGTTTCTGTTCTTCAGGTCTGGAGACTGACATATGTCTCAGCAATGGTGCAGTTCCTCTGTAGAACTAATGTATCATCTCTTGCATATTTCTTCTGATAGCAATGAGGGTTCCCAGGGTGGTGAACTTGCCTTGGGAGGAGTTGATACCAACTTGTACTCTGGTCAGATTGTCTGGACTCCAGTCACTCAAGAAGCTTACTGGCAAATTGGGATTCAAAGGTAAAGCAATTTTCACTTACATTGGTTAGTGTGTGAAGGTATGTGTGTGTATGGAGAGTGAAAGTAAGAGTTAGTAAGTGAGAGAGAAAGAGATTAAAACTATCTGGAGATGCACAGTTGAACACTGTGAACTGATCGTGTACTCCTGGTTACATGAACAATAGGACTTTTTGAAATGCCTCCTTGGACAAGTGATTCTCCATTCTCTTCTGTCCATCCATCTGGATAACACAATGGGCTACATGCATGCCAGTCAGGCACCCAAATATAAGCAAATATAATAATAATAATAATAATAATAATAATAATAATAATAATAATAATAATAATCCTTTATTTGTACCCCGCTACCCTCTTCCGCAGGACTCAGTGCGGCTTACAAGAGGCTGAGCCCAAAGTACATCATTAACAAAAACACACAGACAACAATACAATGCAACAATAAATAAGCAAGCAATAAAACAGTAACAAAAATCTGTGGCAGGGCCAAATGTAGTAGTTAAAATTCTAAAAATGCTGGGCATGTCCAGGTGAGGTAGACTGAATATTTTGGGAATAGAAGTGTGTGCAGACAATTCTAACTTTCTCATAAAGTGCATTAGGGACAATTGCTTGGGATTCCTTAATCTGGGAAGGCACACTGGAACATCCATGTTTTCAAGCTCCTTCTGAAGATAGTCCTTGACTGACTCACAGGGAATAGCATAACCTCCCAACCAGCGGGCAGAACAGCCTACTGCCAGGCTTGAATATTTCCTTCCTTTTCATAAAACCTACAGTCTCAAATGTAAGTTTTCCACCCCATGATCTCAGCTATAATAGATTTATCTCTTGGTTCAATTATGTTACAGCCTTTGAAACAAGGTCCAAATATAATAATAAATATATAATAAAACATTATTTACATTCCGCTCTATCTCCCCAAAGGGACTCAGGGCAGATTCCAAACATAAAAGGCAAACATTCAATGCCTTAATATAATAACAATACATCCATATTAACAAAATTTATCCAACCCAATGTATAAATACGAATTATAACTTAACAAACTAAATAAAAAGCACAGCCTGTTATAACAGACATAAGACAGTACATCAAACATCAAATGGAAACAATAATTTCCCATTTCTTTGGGGCAAATCGATTAATCGTTGCTCAAGATATCTATTGAGCTGGTGGGGTGAGCATGGCACGGATATGTTCTTTGCTTATAGCCCCTCTAAAAATCATCATTAAACAAAAAGCAAGCATGCCTTATTCAATTTATTTTGGACTCTGGTGCAACTCCCTCTTTCTGTTTTAAGATCTGGAAACAAGAAATAGGGCTATTGATGAACAGAGTGAGATTGCTGCTGATCCACATGTTTGCCCCCTCAACCTTCCTCCTGGGCAGAGGTGGCTGGAAACTCCACTCTTTCCATTCCACACTGGCTGTATCCGTAGGTCAGATGGGCTAATAATAACCAATTCCAATACTAAGTAGGACAAGAATCCTAACTTCATTATGAAACACTAAAAGAAGACTATGGTGATGGCTTCTGACAACAATAACATTGAAAGCAGGCGTGGTAATTTGGAATCTTTGATATTAACCCTTCCTGTCTCATTATGTAATACAGTTAAAATAACTTTTACCTGCTCTTTCTCTAGCTTCTATATCGGCAACTCAATCACTGACTGGTGCAGCCAGGGATGCCAGGCAATTGTCGATACTGGAACATCCCTCCTGACTGCTCCACAGCAGGTCTTTGGTGAGCTGATGCAATATGTTGGAGCAGAACAGGACAGCAATGGCCAGGTAAGAGCACCCAGTTATCTATAATGAGGAGAGAAATTCACTAAGCAGAAAATACTAAATATCAGTATTAAAAAGATTAGGGTTGAACCCTATTCTTATTCCCAGCTAGAATCACTGGAATTTACCAACATGTTGTCTCAACATTAAATAATTGAATCAATAGATTTGTTTTAACCAAGATTAAGCAATTCAATTTAGGCTTTAGTGTGGACTTATTCTTTGATCCCATATGCCCCCCATTTGTACTAGTGTAACTAAACTATCAGACAAGGAGTCTAGTCTCTTGTGGAACTTGCTTTTTATTTGTGCAACAAGGGTATATGAAATTAGGAGTATTGTCCAGAGTCAGATAATTCCTAGATTATCTGTTTAGTTCTGGCATTGGATGCAGTATAGCTATTGTTCTATGAACAAACCATAGAAAACCAGGATGTTAGTTTTAATGAAGAACGGGAGATGTGAGTCTTGCTCTGAGTCACATTTGGGGTTGAGAAGGGTGGGCTATAAATATGGCAAATAAATAAATAAATCTCTATCGTGTTTAGACTTCTTGAATAATAATCATGATTGAAATATCTAGCAACATTGATGTTCTCTTGTTTCTGCTTCCATAGTATGTGGTCAGCTGCAGCAACATTCAGAGCATGCCAACTATTACATTTGTCATTGGTGGAAGCAGCTTCCCCTTGAGTCCCTCTGCTTACGTCTTGGAGGTATGTAATCCTCTTGAACTGCTGTTCTCTTTCATGTTGGCTTCACACTTGGGCATTTTTACAGCTATATTGGACATATTAGAACCAGTTGTGTAATCTACATTTTGGCAAAGTAAGGTTTCATTTTCTATTTCTCAAGTAAAAGCATATGATTCTTTCTACATAAATGCTGCCTACAAGTAGGTGGAAAAGGAAACCCTATAAAGAAGTCATTTCCATTGGGAAGTGTTGCCTGCTCCAATTGATGTTTAGGAAATAGATTGTATGCCAAAGATGATTTGGGCTAGAAACTGGCATTAGTCAATAAATACCACTATTAATTGATGGGCCCCCGGTGGCACAGTGGGTTAAGCCCTTGTGCCGGCAGGACTGAAGACTGACAGGTCACAAGTTCGAATCCAGGGAGAGCACGGATGAGCTCACTCGGTCAGCTCCGGCTCCCCATGCGGGGACATGAAAGAAGCCTCTCACAAGGATGGCAAAATATCAAAACATCCTGGCATCCCCTGGACAACGTCCTTACAGATGGCCAATTCTCTCACACTTGAAGTTTCTCAAGTCGCTCCTGACACACACACACAAAAAGATGGGCTATTGTTTGTAGACTTTATTTAGAGAATTCCAAAGCAACATGATTGTACAGAAGGTGTATGTGTACATGCCTTCAAATCATCTCATGATTACCATGTATTTCATTGTTTTCTTAGACAAGAAATACTCAGAGATGCTTTTCATTGCCTTCCTCTGCTAAAGATCTCACAGCAGTTGGTGCTCCTTGGTGGCCCTCCTTTCAAATAGTCAGTGAATGGACAGGTTCATGGAAATCTGCTAATTCAGATACCCTGCTCCAATTAGCTTACTATTAAAAATAGCAACATATAAGCATTAACACGGGGAAATATGCCAAAAAATATTTTTTGTTGTTGTTCATTATTCTGGGGTTGTATATTTGTGCCACATTTTAGACTCACAGTTTCAAAGCTTTAACTCAACCTTGTGCCCTTCCCTTTACAGAACAACAGTGGCTACTGCACAGTTGGCATCATGCCCACATACCTGCCATCCCAGAATGGGCAACCCTTGTGGATCCTTGGTGATGTCTTCCTCAGGTCATACTACTCCGTATATGATTTTGGCAACAACCAGGTTGGCTTTGCTGCAGCAGCATAAACTCATCCAGCACCCTTACGAGCCTCTTCAAACCTCTTCATTCTTCCTCTTCTTATGCTTCTGTTTGCTAAACTTTAAGTCTACCACTCATTCATTCATTTCCCTTTCTAAGAACTTGGATATTTTTCTTCTGCAGCATTTGAAATACCTCCTGTGAAAGATCCATAACATGATTGTTGGCTTTCTCTCCAAAGTTACTGCAAACAAATAAAGTAATTAAACAAACTTGAGCCATGTGGATTTCTTCTTGCTTGTTTTTAGTGTTTTTCATAGAATCATAGATTTATAGAGTTGGAAGAGACCCTGCAGGCCATCCAGTCCAACCCCCTAACAAAAAGCAGGAAAATCACATTCAAAGCACCCCTGACAGATGGCCATCCAGCCACTGTTTAAAAGCCTCCAAAGAAGACGCCTCCACCACACTCTGGAGCAGAGAGTTCCACTGCTGAATAGCTCTCTCAGTTAGGAAGTTCTTCCTCATGTTCAGGAATGTTTGGTTGAAATGTGACATCCCAAAGTGTTTGCTGAACTGCAGAATGTAATTATGTATGCCTTCCCCTATTCCTAGTTCTTCGGGTGGTTTGAACATGTACAGTTGTGTAAATCATAATCATACACCTGAATTATCTCCCTATTTTGGCCTCTTAAGATAAAATAACTAAGATAATGATAGAATAGCAACTCTCAAAATTCCAACATGCATTCTGTTAACTAATCTGCTCTCCTCAGCTGTGGACAAGAATACTGTTCTCTCAGTAGTGTTGAAGTAAGACTCAGTTCCAATCAAATCAGCTTCTGTTCATAGAAAGGAGTCCCATATTCTCTTTTGCCTCGAATAGCAAAATAATATAGTTAGCCCTGAAACAAATTTTGCTCACTTACTGCACACTATTGGAGTTATTTATATTCCTGGCAGGAAGATATTCCATGCAATGCTTCCATATGTCTGAACACCATCTAATCGATACTGTATGATGTTTACTCAACTCCCAATTACATTACATTTGGAAGACAAATCTAAAATAATATGGGCCTGTTGGTTTGGAGTTTATTAAAATGCAAAAGAAGGGTTTGCTTTTTGTTATGTTTGAAGTTATCCTAAGTGTGCTGATGAAGATGGTGGTGTCATGTTTGTGGTATCCAATCCTTAATACTGGCAATGTGTAAAGTTTCTTCCAAATCCCATCCCATGAACCATTTTCTGCAGCATCTTTGGATGTGGTCTTTCTGACTTCTTTATGTCCAATCAGAATGTGCAATTGTACAATCTTTCCCCTACTCATAAACAAATACTTATCCATGAAAATGAACAAAATCTGTCTACCAGTATTAAAAAACTCTAAAATCATAGCGGTGAATAAAGAAAAACACTCAAAAACAGGGGAACTCTACACAAGAATCAAGCAGGTCAGCTAACACCGCTCAACAAAAGATTCCCTCAGGCAGTAAGAAGCAACACCTTGAAACTGCTGGACCATTAAATGCTAATCAAGGTTGCCAATTGAAACATTCACACCTACCTCCAACAGACAAGAGTTATTTTTCCCACCCTGGACAACCCCCATTTTCCTAGTTTCCAATAGACTTCACTACCTCTAAGGATGCCTATCATAGTCAGGAGAGAATGCTTCTGGAACATGGTCATACAGCCCAAAAAACTTACAACAACCCAAATACTTATCCTAACTGCTCATGAACAATTTTCCTGCACAAGTATATACAATATGTTAAGATCCATGGAGGCAGTGCCAATATGGGGGTGGTGGTGGTGGTGGTGGACAACTGTTGCAGGTCTATGGATCAATTTTCTATTCCAGGGATCCAAGGCGGATGAACCCAAAATGCCAGAAATAGAGGTCTGAATCCTGTTGGGAAATTGTGAATATGTAACCCACAGTCACTCATTTGCGACTACCATGTATTTATAACTGGTGTGATTTTAATCAAATGTTTTTAATGTAATGTATTTTAATGATCTATTTTAAATGAGTGTATGGCTGTGGTTAGCACTCGAATGAGTGCTTGTTGTAAAACCGCCCTGAGTCCCCACCCCAGGGGTGAGAAGGACAGGGTACAAATGTACAAAATAAATAAATAATGCATAATCTCTATGCCATTTACGAGAAAGCATTCACTATGACCATCAGAGTCCATTCCCCTGCTGAAAAGGATTTGAGATAGAGGTCATTTTCTGACTATTGTGTCAGAGATCACTCATGGGAAGGGGGTGGGAATGTTGGAAGTGATCAACAGGGAAATTGGCCTCTGTTGATCCCAGAAGCGACTTGGTGGTAAGTGGGGCTTGGCACAGGATGTCATGGCACTGGGATGTTGTTACTACGCCTCCGGGCTGATATGAACGGGGTAGAAATAATGCAAATAAAATATAGTACACAGTGGCCATATAGGATTATGACACAAAAACAAAGCCAGAAATTGCTAGAGATATTCGCATTGGAGTGGGTTGGTAGAATGGGGCTGTGTCACCCTCAAAATGTTATGGCAAAACTGGACTGCCAAGGCCCCTATGTTATTGAGATCCCTCAGTAGAGCAAAGGCAAACCCTCTCTGAATAAATATTGCCAAGAAAACCCCATGATAGTATTGTGTTAGCATCGCCACAAATCAGAAATTACTTGAAGGCACAAAACAGACAAAGAAATTCTTAACAGCAAGATGGACTGAAGGCCTGTTGACACTGGTTGCCTATTTTGACCAGAAAGTGAACTTGGATGTCCATATGACATCTAAGGACTTCCAGTCCATAATGTAGGGTAAAAACTGTTTACCCTGATTTTATCCCATATTATGAGAAATCAAAATGCCAAAACTTGGGGGCTGGCTTGCACTTTAAGGTTAGTGTGGACAGCTGGATCAGGTCTAATACAAACCAGTCTACAACACAGAGGAAAGGAGCTGGATCAGCCCCCTGTTGTCTTCTCAATGCTGTGGTAGATGGCCACAGAGCTCCGGACAGCTGCTGGATGTAGCTGGGTACCTCTTCTCATATTAGCAAAGGCACCCATATAGCAAGGGAAAAGAAATGGAAATCTCCCTTCCTTTCCTGCAGTCACGTGAGCAAGGCGAAGGTGCCTTGTTATGGCCAGCAGTTCTTATGGAGCTCCATGCATTTCCACTCCAGTGGTGGCAACAGGAATGTCCAGGGTAGGATAGTCTGCTTTGCCACTACTATAGGAGAAAAGGGGCAGTGTAACCATGTCTAGGGTCAGGCATTGTTACTTTGGACTAGCTTCAGAGTAAATGGCATGTGTAGATAGGCATTCCTTAAATACTACCTGCACATTTAGAATAAAACATAAAAATAAAATACACTAGTAACTAGGGAATTATGTTTAAGGGCAAAAAGCAAACAAACAACCGATTCACCTCAAAACTAGTGCTGGCTGTCTTCACAATGCATGGTGACTTCTGGTAAGTATCCCAGTTTTTTCCCCTTAACCTGACTTTGCTCTGTTTTAAGTTGGGGGATACTCCAGTTTGCAGGAAACATCTACAGTATTCTCAGTAGTTTGGACAGCTGGATTTGCTCTGTTTTATTCCAAACCTCTGACAATAGTTAAAGCAATGGTATTCCCTGTAGTAACCTATGGATGTGAGAGCTGGACCATAGGAAAGGCTGAGCGAAGAAAGATAGATGCTTTTGAACTGTGGTGTGGAGGAAAGTTCTGAGAGTGCCTTGGACCATGGGAAACTCCAACCAGTCCATATTTCAGGAAACAAAGCCTGACTGCTCATTGGAGGTAAGGATATTAGAGGCAAAGATGAAGTATTTTGGCCACATCATGAGAAGACAGGAAAGCTTAGAGAAGACAATGATGCTGGGGAAAATGGAAGGAAAAAGGAAGAGGGGCTGACAAAGGTTGAGATGGATGGATGGTATCCTTGAAGTGACTGGCTTGACCTTGAAGGAGCTGGTGGTGGTGACGGCCAACAGGGAGCTCTGGAGTGGGCTGGTCCATGAGGTCACGAAGAGTCGGAAGTGACTGAACGAATGAACAACAATTGACCAGAAAGGCACCACTTGCATCATCCTTTCTCTACACTGATCAGCACAGGAGAAGAAGATGGCTCCACCATATGTCACCATCACAACTCTCCGCCAGCTGATGGGTGCCACTGCCTGTATTAAGAGCAAGAGAATGGGGTACCTGCATTATGAGCAAGAAAAGGGAGGTCAATCTACTCCCTCCTTGCAGGTCATGTGGGTGCTACATTATGACATTACCTAACATAACCACAACAGCCAGGTACTTGCAGTGAGGCCCATGGCACAGAAGGAGTGATGGCAGCAACATAGGTGACATTCCAGCAAAGCCGATGTGGTCTCAGCTCCACTGGACCATCTGAATGCCTATATGACACCACAGTGTGTCTGGCCCAGTGCATCTGACCACCATCATGATCACTCTGGACTGGATGAAGCAGCCAGTGTAGATACTGCCTAGAACAGCTTCCCAAGGTCAGAGAACAAATGACCCAGTAATTCAGAAGGGGAGAAGTCGGGCATTATTGTCTTACATGTGTCAATGTCAAATAAAATTTGGATCTCTCCAGCTCCATGTAAATATTTATCACACCAGATGGAATTATCAATTTGTCCTTTTTTATCCTTGTTTGCTTTTGTGGTGAGGCATTAAATGTTTGCCTCTATGTGTTTTTTAGTCTGTTGTAATCTGCCCTGAGTCCTCTTGGGGGGAGAGGGTGGAATATAAATAAAGTTTTATTTATGTATGTATGTATTTATTTATTATTAATATTTCAGAAAAGGATACCAGCATTTTTCAAGGAAAGTGATAATGCTCTGGCTTATTAATACCTTATCACTATTTTCTGGCTAGTCACAAAGCTTTCATTTTTTTTTCATAAGTACTCACTTATTCAATTTTGTCAAAACCAAGGGCACCTATTGTAACAAAGAACATTAATGTGCTATCATTTGTAAGGAAACAGAAGTGTAGATAATGGTGTTTGTAATGATATGGTAAATTAAGGAATGAATAGATAAGGCAGAAAATGACAATTATTCTGAGTATAAAACCAGGGACACAACAGTGGTAACTGTGCTTTCTCCAGAAGAAGACATCAGATACCGATCACTATGAAGTGGCTAATCATAGTACTGGTTTGTCTGCACTTGTCAGAAGGATTAGAGAGGTAACTATCACAAACCAGAGTTATTACAAATATTGTGGAATATTGTGGAATTAAC